ACCCCAATGTCGACAAGCACCTGAAATACATTTACAGCTAGTATAACCCGACCACGTTAACCATTCGTTAATAATTTTAAAATTATTTTAAAAGTACTGGTCCGCCAAATTTATACTCAGAAGATTTAACCAATTTGAAGAGCAAACCTATCCCGAAACAGAACAGGAATTCGACTTTGAGGAAAATATGGAAAATTACGATACCGAAGAAAATTATGAAGACGAAAATGAAAATTTTCAACAGACAGCCTCTTCAGATCCGACGATATTGTTGACCTAAATAACGCCGCTAGTATGCCAAAATTGCCATTTATTATATTGCCCAACGATTTAAAAAGTTTTATTGACACTAGCGTAGACAATTCTATAATTAATCCCGAAATTGCATTTTCTTTTCCTGACGAGTACATTTTTGAATAACCTTTTATAGTAAAATCATCAAAAGCATTTAAGGGCGAAAAATATAATCATTATTACCCTCTTGGAAGGTATAAATATAAATAACCCCATTCCACTTAGAGTTATGAAGTGGCATGAAGAATTTGACGCATTTATAGGAACCAACGGTTTGAAACAATTTCGAGCAAATATTAATTACCGAAATAATACAATAACCCTAAACGGTCAGGAAATACCATTTCACTTGTATAATAATCCAATATTTTTCCAACCAATCGAAGTTCAGTCAGAAAATGTTAAAATGCACCAATCGATATTAACCATGGACAGATATTTTAAGAAGAAATCCCAGAATTAAATATTTCTCCCGCTCTTGTAAAAGTGCAAAGCGGATTTGTTACTATTCCAAGCACATCCGAAGAATCATTCATTTTTGAACACCCTCTAGAAGTTACCCTTATGGATGAACTAGAAGAACTTGATTACACCTTCGAGAAAAAATATATTAACATCGAAAATCGAACAAATGGTCTACTAATTTTCAAGAATGCCAAAAGTGATGTTTGTAAGTTAGAATTAATACTGTAACGAGCAAATGAAAAATACCTAAACGGCATCTTTTTAATATGCTAGCAACCTTCGTATCGATTAATTATTGACAAAAATGTATATAGTTTTAAGGACATATCATATGAACAACATTTTGAAAAATATGTAAAAATTGTAGCAAAAGAATTCTTTCATAAAATTAATGTCAAAGACATTAATTTTGAAGAACCGAAGAACCAGTAAATATCAAAAATAATTTAATTATTGATGGACCAATTAGTTTCTAACATATACATATAATATTTGTTGTAATAGTCACGTTCTTTATATTAAATATACATGTATTGGACTTAAGAAATAAAGACCAAGGAAAGAAGATAAACCAATGAGACAACGTTCAAGAACAAGCAATTCCCCTCAGGATTTATCCAACTTTACCTGAAAACATCGGCGAGACGCCTTCACTTTAACTAAGGGGGAGTTATATAGGGTGTCCCAGTTATAATAATTAATATTTATACCACAGATTCCTACGGACATTTGGAACATAAAATGTTATAACACTTTTGACTTTTGAAACAAAATAAAAAATTATAAAATTATAACAGTTTTGATGCCGGCCCTGCACAATCGCAAATTAATTACGATTGCCAGCTGATCGTAGAAAAATTCACCTTCAGTAGGTCGGAATCAGCTGCTTTTTGGGGTGATGTTATTGTTTATGTTTGGTATTAAGTTACGGATCAGCCGAAGAAAATGCACTCGCGTTAAGGTCCATTAGATGACTGAAACACGTTAGAAAAACTATGTACCTATCACAATCGAAAATCCCATGATCGTAAACTGAAGTGGACCTAATGTAGTCCATGACGTCGAGTATTATGTTATTTTAAATAGAAAAGAAATTTTAACAACTACGGAATAGTTAGAAGCGGTGCACAAACAACCCTCACCACCCAGCGTTTGGTAAAGGTTTGTAACATAACGTACTAGTGTACGAAAACAAATGTATGTGTTATGGTTGTAAAAGTTGAGACAAGATGCAGACCTACTTTGACCATTCACATGTGTTAAACGTTACTTTTGCCTGGCAGGGCTCATTAACCCCACGTGGGGTAATACAAGGGTGTGTCCAGAAGGACCAATTTTGGTTATTTTGTTTTCATTAAATGTAAAAAGCTAAGTATTGATATAACCTCGTATAATTACACTGCTGGAAGTGACTCGAAAACAAGGCACATAATGTTGTAGATTCTAACAGGTTGTTCAGTTCGCTTTGGATTGTTGTGGAATTTACTTGTTTGTTAGTGTTAGTTTATTTATTTAGTGGTCATTTCATAAAAGACTATTACAATAAGGACAATTAGTAGTGTGATAGTGCATTCTAGTACGGTTCTTATTCAACCGTCAGTTGGTGGTGAGTTACATTACCAATGCCTATCGGATAATTCGAAATATTCCCGGTATCTGGGCCAAAATTCGCAGCAACTGGGTACGTCGCTGTCAGTGTTGCATTGAAGCGAATGGCGGACAATTTAAACATTTTTTAAAAAAGGTACGCATTTCTTTTTCACTTTTACCTTTTTTTTACAAGGTGGAAGTGCATTCGGCTTCTTCCCGGGAGGTACTTGTTACATCCACACTAGATCAGCTGAGCGACATTGGTCGCCTAGATCCAGGTCCGTAATGAAACAAATTGTACGTTCAAATTTACAAAGACGATTTGCGAACTAAATTGTCACTGGATTGAAAAATTGTATAACACTTTTTTGTTGTATTTCGTGTCAGGAAGCCATGTTTTTTTTTAATTATTATAACTGGGACACCCTGTCTCTTCACTTATACAAGTGTATTGACCCTCGAGACATCTCATTTACTTGTGAGTCAATTTTTAAATTTTTTTCTAATAAAGTTTTCTGTTTTTTAGAAATGAATTTTTACTTTAAACAAAAATAACTAGCGGTTAGTAGAACAGACCCGAAATGTTGTATGCGCATTTAATTGTGTAATTCAGTTCTCACCATACTACTGCCCTCAGGGTTATTCCGAGAGACGAAAGAATTGTTCAACGGTAGATAGCACAGGCACTATATACTGTATATGCAATTAATTTGTAAATTCGGTGCACGCATTTTATTATGATATTCGATTGAAAATTTTACCATGATATGGTCGCTGCACTCAGGATTGGGTCTTCGCGTAGGAACTCCTCAATGGTTAGCAGCGCAGATATGAAATTTTACATATGGCATTCATTTTTTTAGTCTTCTGTACTAACGACCATACTAGAATGTCGCACTAAATGAAATGAACATGTCCGACTAAAGTTAAAGAGTAAGAAACACCTTAATAGTAAGAAAACATTTTAAGAAATAACTTCTACTTTAATGCTCCAAACGGTTAGCAGAACAGACCCGAAAAAAAAAATAAATCAAACCGATCAGTGTTTTAATTGTACAAATGAATGCGTATGTAAAATTTCATATCTGTATTGCTAACCACTGAGGAGTTCCTGAGTTAGGGCCCAACCCTGTGTGCAGCGACCATATCATGGTAAAATTTAAAACCGCCTATCATAATAAAATGCGTACACCAAATTTTACGTCAAAATAGCTTATACAGTATATCGTGCATGTGCTGTTTATCGTTAAACAACTTTGAGGACAGTGGCCATGTCATGGTAAAATTTAGAACGGGATTTCACAATTAAATGTGTTTACAATATTTCAGGTCTGTTCTATTCCCTCATTAGGATTCAACCTTCAATTCAGTAGGCATGTGGCGTGTTGACGCTTATTATATGTTATCATGGCTACCATATTAAATTGCGTGACACGATTTAACCACACGTGATTTCTAGTAATTAATTCTATTAGATGTATTGCTTGAATAAAACAACTTCGGTTTGATCGATGTGCTGATGAAAACTAAAAAATTAACAAATTTGAAATCGCGTTCCATATCAAGTGGTTTTGATAAATTGCTGACGAAAAACAATCTACATTATTTACTTTTAGTCCGCCTATTTCCATACGCAGTTATTGTATCTTATACTTTAAATTAAATCGTATCACCAATCTATAGTTATTAATTACTTTTCAGCCAATTTCTCTCTTAATTTTTCAACTATTATTTTAAGGGCTTCTGAAGTTATATCACTGTGAATAACCCCGTTTACTTATACTTAAACTAAGATCACGATACACGTGCATGTCAAACTGTTAAAAACAGCCACAATATTTTTTTTGACACAATTAGCTGTTTGGAACGAGGCGCTGTACGAGTGCGAAACATGGGCGGTGGGCACGACGGAAAGAAAATGTTAGAATCGTTCAAAATGTGGTGTTACAGGCAAATGATGAAGATACCATGGATACAGAAGATTAGAAATGAAGAGGTATTAAAAATAATAGGAGAACAGAGGATTCCATGGAAGTCAATAAAAAATAGGTGAGATAGGTAGGACACCTTCTCAGGGGTGAGGGTCTAGTCAGAGATATATTAGAGGCAGAAACAGGAGTTAAGAGGAGAAGAGGTACACCTAGATTAGATCACTGTTGGGAAATATTTAAGGATGTGGGATGTTCTAGTTTTAAGGAAATGCGAAGATTAGCTCAGGATAGGAAGGAGTAGAGGTGCGTGTCTTGACGACCTTATGATGAAGAATTAGCTGTTAAAAACAGAATATAAATTACGCAGTTTATTGCTTTTTCGGCCAAAATATCACATTACTGAAAAATGTAGGTCTCACAATCCCAATTTTAGTACTTGTTTGTAATTGCAGACTGTCTCGAAAATTATTTGTTGTCGTTGTTAATATGTAACGTTGTACTAAGAACTTTACACGTCTAAATAAATAAATAAGTACTAGTAAATACACAAATTACACCGCATTTTCTCACCAAGCATGATTATGTAACAAACGGTAAATCGTACATACAATAACTAATCGTGAGGTGAATTAGTACCGTTGTCAAATAAATAGTTGCTGCATTCTCTTCTGTTAATACCTAAGTATGCCTTCGGTATGAACTACAATTTACTATTTATAATTCAACAAAACGTTATTTAGAAAAATAACTAAATTGATGTAAATATTACATAACAGATTGCTCGTTCAGTTGTCGCGTTCGTATTTAACTAGTTGCTGAGATAACGTTATCGAAGTCAGTAGATGTGGGATGTAATGCCGACACGTTAGGTCTACCTATTCATTACTTATAAACTGTTTCATACGACTTGATAAGTAGAAATTTATTGAAGATGAGTTCAAGAGTGTGGAGTACTACATCAAATGGTAAGTCATTCTAGTTTACAAATATACACATGCAGATGTATTTATAAATATAAATTTCGCGTCATTTAATGTTAAGGAAAGTATCTTGTGAGTAACTGTTTATAAATTTAGAATCATTTGCAAAATTCTTAAGACTTGATTGAGGGGACTCATCAGTAGTACAACGAGGGGTACGCGGCGTAAGGAGAATCTGAAGAAGAAGGCGGAGATGTGGTCGGAATTACTCGCAATTAGTCGCTTTCTTTCGCAAATCTTGTCAACATCATCGTGTGTACATCATTCTCCGTTTGCTTTCAGAAAGAGACAATCTCGTATAAATATATATATGCGTCAAAGTTAATGGATTAAAATAGCCGTTTCCTTAAAAAATATATTTCAGAACCAAACCAGATAGGTATTGATAGAATGAATAGCTTTACAAACGAAATGGTCATTTATAACATACTAATTTCAGTGGTATTATACATTTTAATAAAGAAAATTTCAATGAGGAATGTACAAAAATTGTTATTAAATATTCGCTTCGTCATATCTTTAAGTTAAATGAGCTCCCCCAAATAGGCAAATAATTGCCATTATCGTTAGTTGTTTACTAATTTTTGAAATAGCATCACAAGCTATATATATATATATATATAGTTGTAGTAATTTTTTATTTATTTGTTTAATTAGTAAAACAATTTATGATAAAAAAATTACCCAGTCAAAACCATTTTTGTTTATCGATTTTTAATTTTCTTGGTCTATACCTGTTGTTCCTAACCTTTTTAATATTGTTACCCCTGTGACCTATTAGGAAAACTCATTTTAATCCCAGCTTAAAGTATTATCAATACAAACAACACGAACTCCAC